CGAGGCGTTGCCACTGTTCAAGTACCGACCTGGCATATTGGTGTTATGAAATCGCTCGAACATGACGTTGTCCTGCGGTAAGCTTGACATTCCAGTCGACGGACGTACAGGGCCTGGGAGACGAGTTCTTTGTTGTGGAGTTGCATTGGAGATAGTTCCTTTGAATGTATCAGAATATCTTGCTCACCGGAAATAGATAGAGAGGGGCATACGGTTTCTCAAGTTCACTGGCACTGTGGGCGGTGGCATCGCAGCGGCATCAACCTTTTGCTTTGCGCCTTTTGAGCTCCCAGTTCCGCTCCGCTGATGCCGGTGTAGCTGTTCCACCCCTTCCATGTTGACAGGGCGCGGATTGCCCTGACGGGATGCCGGAGTCTCTGGCGGCCGCGACGCACCCATCGGTCTGCTCAAGCCTGATACTGAGGGCTCGTTTCCCGAGTTACCGAGCGAATTCAACGTTTGTGAGACAGTGTCCGACGCAGCGGTCTTCATTTGCGACCTCATAGCACGAGACTTGAGTAGGTTGTACAGATTAGTGATCTGAGCGAACTTCTTGCACTTTTCTCGGTAGAGATCGACAAGCTCCTGGTTCTTTTTGCGAAGCTGCTCTTCTGTTGTTTGCATGTCTATATTTCGAGTCAAAAGGTCATGTCCCCTTCGAGGATCTGTTGATAATGACGAACCGTTCAATTTAGCCTGGAGAGCTGATATCTCCGTATTTGCATTATGAATCACCCTGTCCATGTGTGTATTCAGAGTTGAGTATTTCTCCGTAAGCGACTTTCCAAGATACTCCTGGTAGAATCTGTCTCCTGTCAGGAAATTGACGCAGAAAGCGATGGACACGCTCAGCAATACGCACATCTCCTGCGTGGTCTGATAAGCCCAGAATACTAATGCTCGACTAGCGCATTCCATAATTGTGTTCGGATCTAGTCCACTCAGGACGCTGGTTTTATAGTCTTCAGAGGGATTGAGAACGGTTGATGCGGCGTCGTCCGGATTCACGAGGACGGTCTGGCAAGCTGGACAGCGACGCTCGCCGTGGGTGGGACGCGAGAGACCGAGAGTATCTGCGCAGGGAAGACAAAATATATGCCTGAGCAGGTCAATCTCCACCGTCGCCACTAACCAAAACGACTGAAGAAAGGGCAGTAGAAAGGACGACTTACGAACAAGTGGTGACGACTGCTTGCTCCTTCAACTGGGAGCGACATTTTAGAGCATTGCATCGAAGGTAGAAGTCCATGATTGAAGTGTCCGTTGTTTCAGGAACCTCAAGGATAGTCGAAGAGTCGAAGCTTGTAGTTGATGGACGCAAGGGTTCAGGAAGTTTGTCAAAAGTTCAGAATACTTGTACCATCCGCAGAGTGCAGCATATTGTCGACGACAAGATACTTGCAGCAACACCTATCAATATTCACTTAGAAGAACGTTCTTCCGTGACAGAATAAACCGGATTGGTTGTTCGGGTATCTAAAGAATATACATATGTTTTCCTCTCACTGTTTCATAGCTCTCTCAGCCCACAACGGCTCTCATTCCTATCTAGCCAAAGAGTCGCCAGATCAGAAGAAAAAGGTGTTTCCTTCAGCATCTCGCCGTGTCGTGCGCATTTTCTCTTCAAACTCGGGCCCCGGCTCGTACTCCCGCCACAAGCTCGCTGGGAAGATGTGCTTGTTTCGTTCATACCACCGTCTATCAACCACTTTCGTCAACGTCGCATCTTTATCGGCACCTTCTAATTGGTCACTACCAGGCCGTGACAGTGGATTATCACTAGAAGCTGCAGGAGGAGGCTCGTTGGAGTAGTCGAACAATAGCCCACCAGCATTTGAGAAGCTGGGTACTCGATTGGCTATAAAATAGTAAAATTCGTAGTGCTAGACGGCCAATTAGCACAGGACAATGAGCAAAAGCAGGTTCCACTTACATGTGGAATGATTATTTCTCCTCTGACCAGCATGAGGTCATCGACACTAATTCTGGCCCATTCCCGGCGATTGTCTTTCCTGCCCTTTGCGGCTCCGCTAGCACCTGCGACGCCTAACTCGGCACCGACTTTGCGACAACGGTCAATAAATAGCCATACCGGGTCTCCTTTCCTGACCTTGACTGCTCCCGCCGGTATATTGGTGCCATCGTAAAAAATGAACGGAATGAGAATCTCGGTATTTTTGACCGCCTCCTGCATAGCCAGAAATTCTCTGCGAAGGGCATCACGCGCCTCTGCTTCTGCCTTTAGTGCAGCCTTCGTCATCGCTTTCGGAGGAGGTGGGGCATTGGGGTTGGGTGTGATGCGCCGTGACGACGGCGCAGAGCTATCGTCCGCAGGTGTCCTCGACGCAGATCGCGGGACGCTCGTTTCGCGGGGAGTGGGCACAGGTTCGTCACCAGTATCATTCTCTTCGTCATCACCAAAAGAAAGCTTGCTTTTCATGAGTTGCTTCTTTTTCTTTTTCTTCGGAGGGCCCTCGCTACGGGGAGTCGAGTTACTGGGTAATTGCGATCAGTCAGGGAAGAGAAAGGAAGAAGCTTGCGCCTTAACTCACCCGTCAGTAACATCGCCTGTTGAAGGAGTAGCACTTCTTGAGTTACCGGATGTAAATCTTCCCAGCGACTTGTCGTGTGCCTCTCGTTCCTTTTGTTCTAGAACCTCTGCGCGACGCTTGCGAAAGTCGGAAAGATGGACTAGACCGACGGTCTGCGACTTGAGAAGATCCTCTGCGGAGGTAGTCTGGCTCGTAAATGAGCGCGGTGTGGAGCTGTGGCTCTGTTGTTCGGAAGGAGGCATGATGTATGTATTATTGATGACTGTGTCACTCGGGGTCGTTTTCAAAGATTCAAGAAGTCATCTATCCTGATGTTGTAGAGAGGTATTGTAATCAAAGTACTGACATGAGGCAAAGGGGCACGTGACCACGGTTCATTGAGATCGCATATAGTGGATCAAAGTCAGTCAAACACGTAAGAATCAGATGTCGTGGAAGACATATATGATGGAATTGTCATTATCAGAATGCATCTTACAAGTATCAATGACTGAGTAGTGGCTGTCATACAGAACGGATATGTTTGCTGAAGAGCAAACATGCCAAACCCGGCGTGCCGTTCGATCTCCGCATTAAACTGGCCGAGATTTCGTCATTTAACACTTCTCTCAATCACAGATTTCTCTGTTTCTGTTCGAAATGATGATGGAAGATGACGATGACGATTTCTACGATCCTGCCGATGCAGTACCCGTAAACCAAGCTCAGCATGCTCCTCAAAACCAATCGAACGAAAAACCTCAAGAATCGAATGAAGGGGTGGAGCAGGACGAGGAGGAGATAGAGGTGGAAGAGGATGAGGTTTGCTCACAACACGCGGTTCGGTCTCTCACGTCGACTAATATCCTGCAGGATGAGTTCAATATCATCACAGAAGCTCCTCCAGATGCGCCTCCTTCGGAAGTGTAAGCTGTCGATTCCTCCAGTACCTCAGCTGAATAGCATTTGATCTAACGCCGAGACAGACCACATCCTCGTCATGCCAACCTACGAGCAGAGCCCCAAAGACCTTCATCAGCGGACATACCGATTGTGTCAAAATCCGTCACGCCTACAGTAACGCCTAAAATCGAAGCTGCCACTCCGGCGCCTGCCAGCGCAAGACCAGCCGTGCCTCAGAAGCCTGGCTCCGCATACCCGCCTGTGCACGCGTCGACGATCGATGTCAATGCGAACCCTGTCCACCCCGCCACAGGCAAGCCGATTCTGTCGACAGATATGGACTCGGACTTTCCAACCGAGGACGATAAACCATGGAGACGACCTGGTTCAGATATCACCGACTACTTCAACTACGGATTTGACGAATTCACCTGGGCAAGCTACGTTCTAAAACAACAAGAGCTACGGAAAGAAGTTGGAGACCAGAAGAAGCAATTGGATGATATGCAGAATTTCTTGACCATGGGTCTCCCACCAATGCCAGGAGCTCCGGGTCCTGCTGCGCCTCCTGGCAGCGCGCCGCCAGCTATGCCCGGTATGCCAGGAATGCCAGACATGTCCCCCGATATGCTGCAGGGCATGCTGGCAAGTATGATGTCGCAAGGCATAGACCCGTCCTCTATGGATCCCATGTCTTTCATGCAGCATGCACAAGCGATGATGGGAGGCCAGGGTGGTGCTGGCGCCGGGCAGCAGCAAGGCCAGCCTGGGTTCGGCGGCCAGTCGCAAGGATCAGGATTTGGAGGACAAGGTGGTGGCCAGCCTCATATGGGATTTGGAGGTTACGATCAGAGGGGTGGGTTTGGCGGCCGAGGACGAGGAAGAAGATGGTAGAACTAAGGATCATGTCTTCTATTACCGTGTTGTAATGTTCGATTTGCTGGGTCAGAGCACTCGGAATAATGGGTCGGATCTGGTGGCGTTCAGTTGTATACAGTCAGTGTTAACCATACCACTGCGCATGATCTTTAGGACCATGAGCTTAAGCTATTCGCAGCTAGAAATTCGGGGAAAAGGAGCTGTCGCAGGCGACTGAGCTGCAGACTGGCATTGGAACCTCCATTGTAAAGTCAACATTGCAAACCCTGGCCAGATGGATCAACCCACTTTCTCAAAACACAGCAAATAAATACAGTTCATCGTATATCGTGCAAAAGACAAAAGGCAAAAGCATTCGACATGATACCCTCGGCAGTGTTGATGGAAGCTCTCCGGTCTTGGCATTCTGGAAATTTCTCGCGGCCCGGCGAGTCCAGATCTTCTTCCCCCAGACGAGCTGTCCGAACATCTTCTTTTCTTCCGTACTCTCCACGCCTTGCACTTGATACATTTCTTCATCCCTGCTCAATTAAACCGAATCAACGAGTCTCGCACTCTTCTCCTCACACATCCATACAAAATGGTACGTGTTTCTAACTGTCCTGGGACCTCAAGGACCACCTTCGTCGTGACAATTGCTCCATTAACGATGTCTTGATCTTGATTGTCTAACTCATTAATTGGTACATGTCGCTAACCTTGATCTCTTCTCTCGATCAGTCCGTCCTCCGCAACATCAAGAACCTCGCTCCCCTCCTGGACCGTGTCCTCGTCCAGCGCATCAAGCCCGAGGCCAAGACTGCCTCCGGTATCTTCCTCCCCGAGAGCAGCGTCAAGGAGCAGAACGAGGCCAAGGTCCTTGCCGTCGGTCCCGGCGCCGTTGACCGCAACGGCCAGAGAATCCCCATGAGCGTTTCCGCTGGTGACAAGGTTCTCATCCCTCAGGTACGTATTGGGTCATTCTGGATGCTTATCTCCGCGCGGATCCGATGCACAGCAGATATTGGATTTCTCTTTCGATGAAGTGGCTGACAGATCTTGCGTTACAGTTCGGTGGTAACCCCATCAAGCTCGGCGAAGAGGAGTACACCCTCTTCCGGGATTCTGAGTACGTTCCCTTGTAGCATAACGATGTCCGCTCCTTGATAAGATTGTACTGACCTCTGCGATAGGATCCTCGCCAAGATCAACGAATAAAGGAACGAGCCCTTTCTGTTTTTCTCCCCCTCTCGATCGCGAGCTGAGAACGCCCAAGTCGGAGGCCGTGTAATATATACCGTGCAAAAATCATGAACTCCTACAACACCTCGAAAACACTGTGTAATTCCAAATCCAAATCCCTCACCGTCATGGTCTAAAAAATGTCACAGCCAATGCTGTCTCTTTTTGGGCTGATTTTGTCTGCGCATTTGTTGTTATAAAGCGTGAAACGACCTTGTCTTCTCCAGCATACTACTATGGATGTACTTCTAAATCTAGCAATCGTCATGAATCACACCGATTCAGGTGTGATGAAAACGAGTAATATCAGATATGATAAATCTCCTCTCAAGTCGATGTCCAGTACATTGTGTCTAGTTTCTTCCACTCATGGATCCACAAAGGTTGGGATTGTTCTCCACCTAAGCAATACCGGCTTATTCTTAGGCTAGCTTAACTACAGAGGTGAATTCATAGTTCCACATCAGCGTCAAATTTAAGGGCCCAGTCACACTGCCAGTCTTTGTCGAGAACATGGTTGATTCGCCCCATCATCCTGTCACCTATGAGCTCACCGAAAACTTCTCTTCTTCGATCTGGCGCCATCTCGATAAACCTAGCTAGACCTTGTCCACCTCTGCCCTCCCCGGAGCTGGGACTGGCAGCAGTACGGGGCGTGTAGCGTATATAAGCCCTCTCTTCTTCGTCTTCCCGTCTGAGGTATACCAAAATGGTTTGCGCAGCATATGGGTTCAATCCAGCCTGGCGGAGGAAGAGCTCCCAGACGGTTGTTCTCATCATCAGTTCCGGACTCAATCGGCTTTCCCGGGGCGAGTTGATCGGTGTGAAACTTGTGCCGGACGGAATCCGCTTGGGATTCTTAGGAAGTCGAGCAATGTGCTTGTTCGCAAGTGAAAGGACCCATCCCGCCAAGGTTTCTGGGCAGGAAGGTAAAAGCAATGGGCTGATTGTTGCATAGGCGGACATCGAGTTGCAAAAAGCAGTCAACGAGGCGATGGACGCTAACACTCGCTTGTCCGCTGTTGGGCCCGATTGTTTGACTTGCAACTTCTTGGAAGAAGGTGCACTATGGCATATGAACAGGTAGATTCGTTCGTAGCGAGGGGCGAGAAGGAAGATGCGTTCTCGGAGTGGTGAGTTGATGCATTCGATGTTCGTCTCAGCGTGAGTGGACTTATGACCGGGCAGGTATAGCTGCGTTGTCGCCTGCGATGTAGTCAGTATTATACCAGTACTCGGCGAAATTATGATATCTGCTTCGATTTGAAGAGTGGGATTGCTGTTCATGCGAGAAGTAGTATGCTTGCCCTGAGGCTCACTACCCGGATTATTGTGGTTATAGTCTCTATATACGATTGCTGGCTGGCCTGCCATTCCTTCAAGGCAGCGTACGAGCCGAAGATGACTCTTCAGAATGGCGGTTGATAAGAACAGAATTGGCTGTTCTCCCATCTGCTGATGGAAGCGAGGAAGTTGTGTGGCTGTCAGTATTACATTCGGGCCGTTGTCGCTTTTGTCCGGCTCTTTTAAGCAGCTTGGGGGCTTCTCGGTGCTCACTGCCTCACTTAATCGCTTGGGAACGTCGTTGGTTGACATTTTCTCTGGGAAGTATGGGCTTTGCGTCACTGTATGCCGTTTATTGTTTCGACTTCTTGTCTCCATAAAGGCGGCCAAGGAACCCAGAGTTGTAAATGAGGGTACCGCTGGCTGCTTCTGCTTCTCCTGCTGCTCGAACTGTGAGGCTCTGACGAAACTCTCGTTGGTAAGCTGGCGTTTCCTTTTCCTTTGCTGTAAAGGTTGATTGGTCACTGTGGGAGAAGTATTGGTCAAAAGCCGAATCTGACCTGGTGCAGTCAAGCCACTATCGCTGGCCATAGAAGCTCGTTTATTACTCCGCTGGAGCCTGGTCGGGGATCGCCCTAGTTTTGTGATAAGCTGGGAATCAAGGACTGGTGGTGTTGGAACATTCAGATCCGTTGATACAATGCCTGCTTCAACAGCTATGCTGCTGAGTGATATTTTGTTGGCCGGTCCGTGAGTGCTGGAGAAATGGAACTCGTGAGCTGTACTATGAGCGGCTGACTCTTCTAGGTCAATATTAGAACACTGAAGGGACGCTTCACATGCTGCGTCATTTGTATGCGAAGAATAGCAGGATGCCGACGGGGAGATTGATGGAGGTCGAGATGGTACAAGTACCGCTGTATCCTCTTCGACTGGAGCTTCAGTCGCCGGCCATTCAGGTTCTTCGTCCGACACCTCAGGTTCTGCTACTTGGGCGGCATGTGAATCTGGTTCTTCATCCTGAGAGGGATCATCGTGCTTGGCAAGCTTCGGTATATTTAAGTCCGTCTGGAGTTGTATATCTTCTGACTTTCCTTCGCCTCTTGCCCTTTCACCTGCAAGCGTGGTAAATTCGCAGGGCTCATCGAGGCTTAACGTCGCTGCATTTTCCCAAGGCTGCCGTCCTTCAGCTTCTGATAGGTAGTGATCTGTCTGCAACACACCATCGGCACCTCCCATAGAAGTCCAATGTACGCAATCGAAGACATCAGGGCCCTGAGTTGCATCAGTAACTTTCCACAGATGGCTTTGTAGCTTCGATATTCCTAAAATCTCGGTCGAGGCAGGACTGGGTAGCATCTGGAGCTCTGGCTCAGGAGAGGGACCTTTGAAGGACAGGTCATCCACATCCAAAGGTGCAAGAGCAGGAGGTTCCGAACGGACAGATATTATCTGTAAGTGATAAGAATCAAGTCAGTGTTTTGCTACTCAACGCTCCTCAAGATACTCACTGGTCGGATGGTATTTGCTACAATATCATCCAGATGATTCGAAGACGCATTTCCAAGCTTCATTGCATCTTGTATAAGCATGAAAGACTGCTTGTTGCAGTTGAGCTTCTCATTTCTGATCTCTTCCTTAATCTCATCTGCCTTCTTCACCAAAGACTCAAGTTGATACTCGGGACCCTCCTCGAGAGGAGGCAGGTCCATTTCCTCGAGATCGTAGAGTACCGGCCTCTTGGGAAGTGCCGAGTGCGTCTCATAATCTAGACTAAAAATGGGAGGTTCCAGCTTGATCTTGTTGAGACGATGAAAGGCCGCCAAATCATCTTCCAGGTTGGATTCAAATTCATGAGTTCTCACGTCACGAAGGACTTCTGATAGAAACCGAATATCCTCTTTTCTCACATTAAGCTTCTCTTCGCGGATAGCTTTCTCGACAGATTCTTGCGTGGTGAGGAGGTATTTATCTAGCGATTTCAGCTTGTCTTCGGGCACCGGAGGATCATCTGGCGGCAGTTTCAGGGAGTGATCGAGCTGCTGGCTTGGATTGATTGCGGTATAGTCACGAGCAATTCTATAGAATCTGGCATATTCGAGCAGAGATGGTTCGTGTTTGGCTGACATTGAGAATGATTCAGTGGAGTGGATTGGGCACTACGATACTAGCAGTCTCCTACTGGGATAGACGCTGTGATTCCTGAGCTCAGGCACGTGTGTAAGCCAATTCCTCAGTCATAAGAGCTGAACATCAATGAAGATTCGCTAGCTCCTAATTAAAATATATGCTGGTGTATATTATTCAATGCTGTAGTATTACGGCAATATCATAAAACGTTTCCTACATAAGAAGCAGCATCCACTTGATCACTCTCTTCAGAGGCATATTTCGGAAGCAACTAATATTTCGTATCTGTCATAAAGCGTTCATCATGTTTGCTCACCCTCATCGAAAGGTGTGTGTGCAGTAAGTTCTCTCGACTCAGAGCCGTCAAGGATAAGGAGAAGGGACCAGCTCTCGAGGTCAATCGTTGTAGTTGGATTGACGCGAGCCATCCTTGTTCACGGGCGGTAGGTTATAGTAAGCATTATATTCCTCCTCCTGGGATTTGCCTTCGGGGTCGAAGTAGGGGCGTTCAGCGTGGCAGGCGACTCGGACAGCATGACGACGGTGGGGAGCAAAGCCGTAAGAAGCGGAATGATTCTATCGAGAATGTCAGAAGAGACCATGATGGAGAGTATCTGCGCATTACTCACTGTTGTTCGATTGTCCCACAGAGCCACATCGTTCTCACCCCATTGGAAACGAGCGTGCGCCTCCTGCGTGGTGGCAACAACCTCGGTTAGGTACCTTATAATGGCGTCACTCTCTGTTTTGGGAATTCCCACAATCTTGGTTACAAAGCCAGGATTGAAGAAGAGACTGTTCCAACCAGTGACCGGATTTGTGCGAATCAAAGGGTGCTCTGTGGTGATCGGCTCACGACGAACAGTTCGACCAAGAGCTCGCGAGTCTGATGCCTGCATGTTGGCTGTATGGAGAGCAGTCAAGCCCTTCAGGTAGTTCTGCATGTGCGATGAGAGCGCGTCGTATGCCGCGTATTGAGACGACCAGAGAGTGTCACCACCGCCTCCTCGGGGAGGACCCGTCAAGACCTTCAATAATGTGTATGATGGTGGTTGAACCTCGTAGGTTACGTCGGAATGCCATAGGAAGCTCGGGGAAAACAGCGCTCGTTGGTCGGAGGAGTTGTCCCCAGTATAAACGACATGCACGTCTTCCAATCCCTTCTTCCTTGGTACAGCAGTAGTGGCATGCTACATCACGGTTAGACACCAGTTACGCTCACGACGATTCTGGGGGAGGCAAGACTTACTCTGTGCAACGTCCCGAAATATTTCCCCAACTCCCGTTGAGCTTCAATATCAAAATCCTTCTGATTACGGAAAAATACCACGCCACGGACGGCGATCAGGCGGGCAAGGTCATCCCTTTGGGCATCATTGAGTCTGGCCAGATTGACCCCATGTATCTCCGTTCCGATTCTCGGTGTGTAGTCAAAGACGTCGGTTGCATCTTGGAGCAAGTGACGGAATTTTGGGTCTCCGCGAAGCCCTTTATCTTCGTATGGAACCTTCCCTATAGCTTCCCACTGAACATCTGGAAAGGAGGGCAAAAGATCTTCATAA